TGATTCTCTTCATGGTGTGATTAAAGGTCATTTATTGGTGATATTGTCTCAGTGATTGTGGTACAGCGATTGATGGTGAAGAGAATGATCATTTTCATTACAATTATGATCAACTAGAGGCCCAGTGCACAAAAATTTGTGCATGCGGGGAGTGGGGGGGTCCCTCAGCCTGGATTGTGAGAGGGTGCAGGCCAGGCCAAGGGACCCCCCAGTGCACAATCAGGACCGGGGAGGGACGCAGGAGGTTGGCCAGCCTGGGAGGGACTGCAGGAGGGATCCAGGATGTGTCTGGCCTGTCTCACTCAGCTGGACCCCAGCAGCAAGCTAACCTATCAGTTGGAGCGTCTGCCCCCTGGTCGTCAGTGCATATCATATCATTAGCATATTACACTTTGGTAGTTGAACAGATGACCAGAAACTGGACACTTAGCATATTAGGCTTTTATTATATAGAATTCGTCTGTATTTCCAGACTTTGGGACACCTGTAGTGAGCTCTTCACTATACGTTTTCAAGCAAAAAGCTACAAGATTGGCATCACGGGAAGGTAAGTGCTTTGTCTGTTTAATCCATCATGCTTCCCTGGAATTAACACTGTGCCTGGAAGTTGGTGGAAGCTCAATACTCCCCTATCTGTTGTCTGACTGTTCTTACCATGTTTAAGAGAGGTAAGATACACCTTAAGGATCATCCAAATTCTAAAATTGCTTCATATCAAATTTGCTAGTTATTTTCCCTGGTAAAAATATCAACCAGAAAACTGTCCTTTAGCTATTATGTAAAATATATCTACATACAAAATTTTATCCTATATAATAAAAGGGTAATATGCAAATTGACCCTAACAGCAGAATGACTGGGAATGACTGGTCACTATGCACACACTGACCACCAGGGGGCAGACGCTCAATGCAGGAGCTGCCACCTGGTAGTCAGTGCGCTCCCACAGGGGGAGCTCTGCTCAGCCACAAGCCAGGCTGATGGCTACCAGCACAGCGGTGGTGGCGGGAGCCTCTCCCGCCTCCTCAGCAGCGCTAAGGATGGCCGACTGCAGCTTAGGCCTGCTCCCCGCTGGCAAGTGGACATCCCCCAAGGACTCCCGGGCTGCCAGAGGGATGTCTGCCAGCTTAGGCCCAATCCCCCGGAGAGTGGGCCTAAGCCAGCAGGTGGACATCCCCCGAGGGGTCCCAGAGTGCGAGAGGACACAGGCCGGGCTGAGGGACACCCCCCCACCCCCGCGAGTGCACAAATTTTTGTGCACCGGGCCTCTAGTACATATATAAATATGAGACTATAAGCAGCTTAAGAATAATTCTTAATTTTGAAAATCAAATGAATACTGATAATTTCAGAGAATAATTAAAATATAAAAACTAAATTCTTATCACAGATGTCCTTGGACCAAAAGAATCTAGTATGGATTTAAGAAACAATTATCAATAGTATAATATGCAGCTCCTAGAATCAGCTGATAACTAGAGTTAAAAAGTAAAAATAACTTCTAAATGTAGGAAACATTTTCAGACTACCAATAAAATTCTGTCTTTGTTCAAAAGAGTAATATAGTTTCACTTTCTTTCAATCCTCATACAAAAAAAATTAAATTACAGAAAGGAGATAAACAGGATATTGAAGTTAAACTAGAAGTGAGTATTAACTTTCCACCAATTTCTATTATTGGAGGCCCAAATACGGAGAAAACTGTAAACAAAAAGTCAAATAAAGTTATAACTTCCCAGAAGATATCTGAAATAAGTCAGTAAACAATTTTTAAATAATTAACTGCAAATCATTTTCTAAAAAACTTTTAAATAATGTCTATCTAGTTAAATAACATTTAAGTAGCAATTATTGATGTTTATCTTATACTTGGATTGAAATGTTAATTTCTTAAAAAATTAAGTACTTGTCACTACAAAAAGTTAACTAAAAATAACTTTGCATTTTATATAATAAAACAATTCCTGGCTGGGTTGCTCAGGTGGTTGGAGCATCATCACGTACACCAAAAAATTGTGGCTTTGATTCCTGGTCAGAGCATATATGTAGGTTACATGTTAGATTCCCAGTCAGGGAGCTTACTAGAGGCAAGCAATCAATATTTCTCTATTGATGTTTCTCTTTCTCTCCCTCCCTCGCTCCCTCCTTCCATTTCTCTCTTTCTCTCTCTCTCTCTAAAAAATCAATAGAAACATCTCCTCAGGTGAGAATTTAAAAAAATCACTGTCATGCTCTTGGTTATAATTTTGTATGCTAAATAATCCCAAAACATATGGCATAGCAAATTTCTCTATTTGAACCTCTAAGATAAACAATCCTCTGCAACAATTACTGACAACTGGATAAGAGTGAACTACAACTACATAAAACCAAAATATTTTATGGACTAAGGGAACTTGGAAAAAGAGAAGTGTGCCAGGGAAGAAGCTGTTTAAATTATCTTCTAAGTGTGAAGTGGGTAATTTCCAAGATAAAACCAATAGGTAAAAGCATGCTACATTTTCTATCTGAAATGACATGATGTGACTATGATGGTAACTAAGCACAGAAAAGTCAAAGAAATCAAGGACTTTTCTGAGGTAGTTACAATGGGTCATACTTACAGCCACAGAAGCCCACTGCCATGCAAAACAGTGACTGGTTGGCATCTGATCATGTGAGCGACAGCAGCCAGTAAGAATAGAAAATAAGAAGCAGAAGACAAAGCACCACCAATCAATGTCAAGAGTTGACATGTATATTCTTGCTATATATAAATAGCAATATATGACTTCTACAATCCTGTAACTGTCTGTTTAAATGGGGTCCCCAGGAGATTTAAAATTCCATATCAAGAGTACTAATTTGTTTTTATTAAGTTTAAACACAAACTTCAATATCAAAGTGCCTATCATTTTATAAAAGCTCAAAGCATGTTTGCTGAATTATTTTTATTTTTAATTAAATTTTAAAATTTTCTTTCTTATTTCCTATGTGTAATATTCAGCACCCAATGGTAAACTGTGCATTAGCAGGAACATTCACTCTAACCCAGAAGTCAGCATCCCCTAGTCATCCCCCAAAAGATGGGGAAACTAATAAAAATATTTTGATTCATAAGGAAAAACTAAAGAAAAAGGAAACTAAAAAAGTGACATTAAGATTTTTAACAGCATTTTGTGAGAAAAATTCTCTAAAAAAGTAAGTTCAACTCACTAAAATAGTGGAAAACCAACATCATAAACTAGTATTGCAACAATACTGCAGTATACAACATATTACAATACTTATACAAAAGGAGGGACGCATTTGATTTTCTAAAATAATCTAAACAGTAGGAATGGGTTAAAGACATTGAAAACGCACTAGGAAGAAGGTGGGATTCAAAATTCATGATTAATCTTACCGGTGCCATGCGTATTGCTGGGTGTGCTCCACAGCCTTGCACTGCTTTATGAAGTGTTTCACCAAACATATTTCGAAGTTCAACTGAGTGACAATATACGGCATCAATCTTTGGCCACCAATCCAATGCAGACTGGACAAAAACAGAGACCATAAGAAAGGGAAAGTACAAGTCTGCACTGAATTATATGCTCTGGTTATTACTGTAGTTTATGTTTTATCCTTTTGTGAGAAACTTTCTAAGACCATGCAAACACACACCACAATTTCCAATATCTTCAAATAGACTTTCAACAATAAAGAATTTAAATAAAAAATAATAATAAATAATAAAATGGGGAAAAAAATTTCAAATAGTGTCTTTAATTTGAACCATACATCTTTTAAAAAATATAATAATAAACATGAGACAAATTGTCTGCTTTATGAGCATGAGGATATAGATTGTCTCTTCTCACTGGTAAGTTAGTGAATTTGAAAAACAGAGAGTCTTTAGAGAGCTAATTCTGTACCAAATCTTCTTTTATGAGTTTAATGCTTTACACATGTTAGTAACATATGCATATAAAGTCTATATTCTCCTGGGTAAGAATATGATTATTAAAGCTTTAAAAGAGATTAGTGGTTCAACACAATGTTGAAGGAATATGTGGAAAACAATCACTTATATGCCTACAAACAACAATGATAATTACAACATGGAATTAGTAAATGAGATAAAGCTATTAGTAAACCCATAAGCTTAAACTGATATGCAATGATGACACAATACATGAAAAGACTAATGATCACCACAAAGACAAATTTATTATAGCTAAATATTTTTAAAAAGCAATTATTTTATGTAAATATGTTTATATTTTGGTTTAATGAGTTTAGCTTTGATTCCCATTTTTTTTTATTAAAATATATATTTTATTGATTTTTCACAGAGAGGAAGGGAGAGAGAGAGAGAGAGTCACAAACATCGATGAGAGAGAGACATCGATCAGCCGCCTCGATGTGCCCGCAACCCAGGTACATGCCCCTGACTGGAATCAAACCCGGGACCTTTCAGTCCGCAGGCCGACGCTCTATCCACTGAGCCAAACCGGTTTCGGCGATTCCCATTTTTAATGCCTATTTTATTTTAAAGTGTATCTTGGAAGTTTTATGTTAAAATTAATTAATACTATATTATGAAAAACAACAATTATGAAAATCAGTAAAACTAAACAGTTTGGTCCAGTCAGTGTGGCTCTGTGGTTGAGCATGGACCCATGAACAAAGATGTCACCGACACATGCCTGGGTCATAGGCACGATACCCCAGTAGGGGGTATGCAAGAGGCAGCCAAATGAGAATGTTTCATTGATGTTTCTATTTCTCTATCCTTCTCCCTCTCTCTAAAAATCAATAAAAAACATTTTTTAAAAGAACTATAAAGTTTGTCTATCAGTTAACACAAAAATGACTGGTTGAATTTTCACTACATATGGAGACTATGCAAGGAATGGGATGACTTAAAATATAAACTTCCACCTTTGTCATTGTGGCTCAGCTGGTTGGAGCAGTGTCCTGTATACTAAAAGGTTGCAGGTTTGATTCCTGGTGAGGGCACATACCCAGGTTACAGGTTCTGTCCCTGGTCCAGGTGCCAATGGAAGGCAATGTTTCTCTCTCTCTCTCTTTCTCCCTCCCTCCCATTCTCTAAAATATGTATATATGTGTGTGGGCACTTCCAATTTATAATAGTCCTGTTATAGAAAACACCTGAAAGAACAACTGAAATTTGTTGGTAATGGGAATTTAATAGCTTCACATCCTATTCACAGGTTCCTTCTTATTCCAAACTAAGCTAAATTTTCAACATTTAATTTTTTATCCATAATTCTCAGAATATTTTCAGTAGCATCAAGTTTTATTACTTTAATCCAAAACTTTGAACTACGAACTCTATTTACTAGATAGTAAATTATACAACCAATTTACAATACATAATTTGAATATGAACTACAGTGAGGAAGGGAGGGACTCAAAAGCTATGAGGGGAAAAATACTTTTGGGGGTACAATATGGTTGTTTCTGCTTTTCCTTCAACTCTTAATTTATTTAAGCTAATTCCTAACAAACGATCAACTTTTATTTTGGTTATATAATGAATCCTTTAAATTTTGCTCAATTTTGGTTATTTGACTTGTCCAAACAATCAGTACAGCATGATTTCCACACATTTACTAATGCTACGGCTTATATTCATCAGCTTAAAATTGAAAAGGCTGAATCATCACAAAATGTATTGAGATAAGGGTCTTCCTCACTCTACTGACCCCACAATATCTTGTCAGAAACTGATTAAAGCGATACGCATCCGAAGTGTACAATTCAACAAAATACCATCTGCATACTGCATCATGCACCCACTGCCCAAAGTCAAGTCTCTTTCCATCCCATCTATCCCCCTTTGCCCGCTTCTACCTCCCCGCCACCTCTGCCCCTTTCCCTCTGGCTATCACCATATTACTGTCTGTGTCTATGTGATATATATATGTATATATGTATACATACATATATTTTAATCCTTTCACCTTCTTTCACCCAGCTCCCAAATCCCCTCCCCTGACAGCTGTCAGTTTAGTCTGTCCCATACATCCATGCTTCTGTTCTAGTTTGTTAAATTACTTTGTTGATTAGATTCCCCACATAAGTGAGTTTATATGGCATTTGTCTTTGGCTTATTTCATTTAACATAATATTCTCCAAGTCCATCTAGGCTGTCGCAAAAGGTAAGATTTCCTTATTTTATATGGCCAAGTAGTATTCCATTGTGTAAATGCACCACAGCTTTTTATCCACTCATCTACTGATGGGCACTTGGGCTGTTTCCAAATCTTGGCTATTGTAAATAACACTGCAGTGAACCTAGGGGTGCACATATTCTTTTGAATTAGTTTAATTTAGGTACCTGCTGAAATTGTATCATACTACCAGGTGCACACTATAAAACAACTTGATTTTAACTTAAGATTTGGTGATTTTAATAACTGATACTTTTCATAATTTATAAATTCATTTATCTTACAGTAAAAGTTAAAGATACACTTTCAAATAAAATAGGCACTAAAAACTAGGCACCATGTAGTTGGTAAAAATTTTTGTGTTTTGAGCAGTTACTAAATGTGTCATTTCTGAATCTAGTCAATCAAAGTAGGCAATTTTTTTCCTTGAAAACACTAAGTTTATTGCCAAACAAATAGCATTACTTTTACAATCTGATCAAACTATGCGCAATTCTCCAAGAGAGAATTTAAATAAATTTTCAAGTACCTTGGAAATAATTTATTCACCCTCTCAAAAGAAAGAAACCATCTTATTCTCAATATGTGAACTAACCATAGAAAACTATAATAAGTTGCCATATGGAAAAAAACTGAATACTAAGTACTACACCAGCTATAGCATTTTCCACTGATGACTAAGACATTTGGTTCATATATATGTATATTATGCCTTTAATCTCCCAATTATAACAACATATATAAATTAGCCTAATGGAAGCCTACAAAGATTAAGATCTTTTTTAAAAATATTTTTATTGATTCCAGAGAGGAAGGGAGTGAGAGAGAGAGAGAGAAACATCAATGATGAGAGAGAATCATTGATCGGCTGCCTCCTGCATGCCCCCAACTAGGGACTGAGCCCGAAACCCAGGCATGTGACCCCGACCAGAATCAAACCCAGGACCCTTTGGTCGACAGGCTGACGCTCTATCCACTGAACCAAACCAGCCAGGGCAAGAGTAAGATCTTAACACAGATCTTGTAACTACAATTCATCTCTTATGACATGCCATAATAAAAAAGGTGATAATACTATGAGAACTACTGATGAAAGCTTACATTTTAATAAAATTCAAATAGTGAATAGACTTTCAGATTTCTTCAGAAGAAACAGTGGATATTTTAGATCTAAACACAGTACTTATGAACTGAGTATGAGTATGTTTCACGAAAGCAAAAACAAAACTGTAAATACCAACACGACTTCTGAATAAACTCTCAAAAACACATCAGCAAAACTTTTATCTTATTTGAGAAAGTGGTAATTTCTTTATTTACTTTTTTAGTCTATGAATTGGCTAAAGCACCATGGAAGAAGAAAACTTATGAGGTGTATTGAACCAAGAATCATTTAAAAGGAAATCTTACACTATGAATAAATTTAAGATTAGGAGTCCAAATGTCTAAGAAAATTTTCATGTAATTTCAAGATAAAATATTTTCATAATTAACTGCCTTTGATAAGATTATATAATCAATTCCATAAATTTACCTATTTACTTTATAAACAGTCCTTTTCGGTCAGAAAGTACTTCACATTCAGTATCTATTAGCCTCAAACCAAAGGGAGGAAAAAGCCCAACAACAAACAATTTATCAAATAGTCTATAATGATAAAGTATCATTATCAAAGGTATAACTTTAAAAGATACTTTATACACTCAAATTTATATTTCTTTTCAAGCTATTCATCTAAAGCTTACTGATGCTTAATATTTTAAAACTTAGTCAATATAGATTTTTCTTTACAAAAATAGATTTCACATTGATGTGACTTCTGATACAGACACACTCCACCTTCACACATGCAGTACTCGTCAGAGTAGAGGAGGATGCACGACCACTTCACCGTATACACTGAGGCATGCATGAAGTACCACTCCAGGCATGCTTTAAACCCACAAAGAGCAGCTCAGCCACTTACAGCAGTGCCAAGTCCATGCTTGAAAGTGCTCTATATAGTCAATTGTAGACAAAAATATTTTACAATTAAAGTAACTAGCCACAAAGTATCAAAAAAGTTTACTTGTGTTTACTAAATACAAGTTTTAAGCATTTATGTAAAACCATACACTCTAATAAATGGAATGTTTTTAGTATTATGAGCCAAACGGGGTAAATGTAATAATATTTTATTTCTGAATTACACATAAACTTGAGGGGGGAGATCATCTTTTTTTTTTTTTAATGGCCTTGAAAGTAAACCTTGAGGATATAATGTACTGTCTCATTACACTTGTAAAAAAAAAAAAATTTTAAGTTTTTAATACAAACATACCTTATCTACAATCAGATTCATGAAACTTTTCCTTTGGAACAAATTGTATTTACTGTTACTTCTACCTACCAGTGTAATTTAATTCACTGATAGTCAACTGAGGGTCAACTGAGGGAGGTGTTATTGTCTCAGGCAATTTTAGTTATTCATAATGTCTGGGTGTGGGGAGAGGGAAGTGTCACAAATATGGCAGGATGCTAAACATCCTGCAACACACAAGCAGTCCTTACACAACAAAGAATTATTCTGCCCAAAACACTGCTAACACCCTACTGAGAAAAATTAAATGTGTCACTAAATAGCTTTATTAGTAGTTATTTTTTCCCTTCAAAAATGGATAAAAGAAAATGTGGGCAGACTTTTCTGTAATTCAACACATCTAAGGCAAATAAAGATGGGAAGGTATTTTAACTCACCAGAGACACACTCTTAAAATGGAATCTGATGATAAAGAGGACAAATATAGCTAAATCATCAATTATTAAAGTCCCTTTTAGGGCAGAAAATGGGAAAAAGTTAACCAATTTATATATAAGTGTGAACACATATAAATAGATAAAAGTGGAGCTATGATAAATAATACTTGAGAACTCTCAAAAGGTGATTGATTGTTCATAATTAGAAGAACAGAATGTTTTAAATCAATGGTTCAAATTTTATAAGGTTTCACTATCTTTCTATTCAATGTACTCATATCAGAGTTGAAGGTTTTACAAGTATCTTTTAATGAATTTGCTTATTTTGTCTAATATGGCTTTGTAACATGTGAATACCTCTATTTAACTACGTTAATATTTCATTTGTTTAAGGAAGACTAAAAATAAAAAGTACAATTAAATATGATGTCACCATTTTTAAAACATGTCATATTGGGCTACAGCATAAATAACTACTACTTTTAATTTAAATGGTAAAGTGACAAGTCAGAACATATCAAATGCTGAGGGAAAGCTAAAAATATTAAGAATATGCAACAAGTTTTGGAAAGAAAATCTTAAGTTATATTTTCAGTGGCACTTTCTCAAGGATATTGGATCCAAATTAAATGTTTTAGGTTTAATCTTTCCAAAAGATCCTATTAACTCCACCTTCCTCAATAAGGGCTCTCAGGTCAGACTGATTATGAAAAATATAATTGTATATAAGTTTACTAGATATTAATAACCACCTATGATAAATCTTCCTATATCATATATCTAAATTCAGAACCTTCTGTAAATAAAGAATATCTTTCTTAAAAAGAAATAAAAATTTAAGTAATTTAGCAATACCTTTTGGACTTACATTGGTGATGATTCGATGGAGGGAATTTACCAGCACATAGTGAAATGTAGAAGGGGAATTCTGAGCCAGGCAGATCTACAGAGGGCAGAAAAAAATAGCAGATTATTTCTGTGAAAAATATTCAGGAACACAAATGAGAACAAAAGAAAAAACAAAACTAACAAAAAAATTTTAAAAATAGAATAAATTTTTAAGGTCTTTAAACTAATATTGATATACTAGAAGCCCAGTGCATGAAATTTGTGCACTGGGGGTGGGGAGGGGTGTCCCTCAGCCCATCCTGCACCTCTCCAATCTGGGACCCCTTGGGGGATTTCAACTGCCGGTTTAGGCCCGATCCCATAGGGACTCACAATCCGGGACTGCTGGCTCCCAACCGCTTGCCTGCCTGCCTGCCTGATTGACCATAATTGCTTTTGCCTGCCAGCCTGATCAACCCCTAACCACTCCCCTGCCAGCCTGATCAAAGCCTAACTGCTCCCCTGCTTGCCCAATCGCCCCCAATTGCCCTCCCCTGCCAGCCTGTTGGCCCCAACTGCCCTCCCCTGCTGGCCTGGTCCCTCCCAACTGCCCTCTCCTACCAGCCCAGTCACACCTAACCACCCTCCCCTGCCGACCTGGTTGTCCCTAACTGCCCTTCCCTGCAGGCCTGGCCCCCCCAAACTGCCCTTCCCTGCAGCCCTGGTCACCCCCAACTGCCCTCTCCTGCTGGCCTGGTCACCCCTAACTACCCTCCCCTGCTGGCCTGATCGCCCACAACTGTCCTCCCCTGCCAGCCTTCTGTGGCTGTGGGCGCCGCCATCTTTGAGGGCGGGGCAGTCAATTAGCATATTCCCTCCTTATTGGCTGTGGGTGCCACCATATTTGAGGGCGGGGAAGTTAATTACCATATTCCCTCCTTATTGGCTGTGGGTGCTGCCATACTTGTGACCGCATGAGGGTCAATTAGCATATTCCCTCTTTATTAGATAGGATAATAGTGAGCAATACCAGTATGGGTATAACCTATTCATCTTTTTAGTCTTTTCACATTTATGAAGGATCAATAGCCTCGGTGAATATAACTGGATAAAAACCAATGCTCTCACCTTAAAGTGTTGGTTGTTGTGAGGGCTTATACGAAAGCAAGAAACAAGGCAGTCAATCATTAGATCCACATCTGCAGGCTGGCTGCCTCTTGAGAATGGTTTGCTTGGATTAAAGAGCAGGTTCTATGAAAATCCCAATAGAAAACAAAAGCCTTTAAACAATCATGCAGTCTTTCTCTTTCTAGCATTTAATAATATCAATACATCATCCACATTGATGGCAGTAGCATTCAGTTGCCAGAAGAAGCACAAAGCACTAATATTATGGTTCATCAGTCTGATAAAATTCTTACTATACCATATATAATCCCTTTCAGGTCCTAATATATTATTTTAAAACCAAGTCAGAATATTTATGCTAATTTAAGAAAACTCATTAATTATGTGTTTTCTTCATACTCTACACCACTTTATTTAGCCTGAGGAACAAGTAACAACAAAAGCAGATCCTATGAACTCATTATCAAAGAAGACTCAGAACTTTAGTGTTAGCAGTGAACTTTGACAATGTAGTTTAACCCTTTGAGTGCCAACCAATATCCTAGGAATTATGCTAAAATTGCCAAGGTATTTTTGCTGATTTTCCTTAGGTGCCATCTGTCAATAAAGAGTGAACAACTGGCATCTAATAGTGACACTGCAGGAGCAGCACTTTTGGCGAAAGACAGGAGGAGCACGATCGCACTCTCCAGCACTCTAGGGGTTAATACTTATACTTGAAGTTTACTTCCCATTTAATTTTTTTTAAGTTTACAGTAAAGAAATAATAAGGATGTTACCTTAAGATCGACCACCATCGACTGAACTAGTAGGAAAATGACAGAGTTATCTTCCCAATTGATGTAGGTACTTGCTTTACACAACTTGACACAGGCAATTGCAGCACTTTCAGTCAGCTGCCTGCTTCCTCCATGGCCAGCAAGTGCTTTACGCAGACTGTCCAGAAACAACTTCTACAGAATTCAAATACCGCAAAAAGATAATATATGAAGTTTCTCAGATTTCAGATTTATCTAATAAAGTTGCAAAATATCAGCCTCTAAAAACTGTACTCTAAAAATACATAATTGATATCCATGGGTTTTAATTTCTCAATGAAAGGAGTTGTCTTTTAAATATTTCTCGAAGCCAAAGAATAGAATCTGTTCTTCACATTCTTTGTTGAATTATTAAAGAAACATAAGAAACAGTCCTTCCCAAACAAGGGAATTCACTGCTCAACCTTAATTCAGCTGATATTCTTTTTTACATTATCCTTAATTCCTCAATATTAATTTGTTTTGGTTATGGTCCATGTCAAACTGCTCATTTTTACCTAAAACTCCAGGCTATATTTCACCATCAGTCTTCTAACTAAGGATATATCATAAGGCTGACTTATTGCTCTAAATTCTGCTCCTCGCAACAAGGTATCCCTTCTTGTGATCTCGAGCTCTCTTTGCACTCACCAAATTCTCCCTTTGGATTTTCTCCTAAATAAAATTTACAAGTATTCTCAAATATAACATGTCAAAAGCTGGTAACTAAACAACAGAATATACATCCTTCTCAAGTACACATGAACAATGTCCAGGATAGACCACGTTAGGCAACAAAACAAGTCTTAATAAATTTTAAAAGTCTGAAGTCATATAAAATATCTTTTCTGATCACAATGAAATGAAACTAGAAATCTCAACAGCAGCCCAGCTGGTTGAGCACTGACTTATGCACCAGTCAGGGCACATGCCCAGGCTGCAGGCTTAATCTCTGGTGGTGGCGTGCAAGGGACAGTTGATCGATGTTTCTCACATCAATGTTTCTCTCTCTCCCTCCCTCCCTAAAAATAAATAAAAACACGTTTAAAAAAAAAGAAAAAAATGGTCCCCTGAACTATCATCTTTACAGAATGCTAAGCCTGAAATAATACACCCCTTGAGTAAAATAAACTGCTTCACATCTGGACATATGGAAATAATTTTGCCCTCCTTACCTTATTCATGTTGTTTTCATCAACCACATCCCTGGATATATCCTGGATTATTTCTGGACACAAGATAAGAAGAATGATTTGTAGTGGCCAAACTGCTGCTTTACGTTTGGTGCTTTCAGCAAAACCATCCACCAAGTCAAAAAGCTTTTCTGCACACTCTATGTAAAAAAATGTAAATAGTAAATGATTTTATTAGATGAGAAGGAAGTCTCTGACATTAACCAAAAATCCAAAGGCCACATATTTAGAATATAAACTTGTAAGTTCACTTAAACAATTAGACAATTCATTCAGGTAAGCAGACAAGCAATGTTCTAATGTCCATGTATTAGAAGAGCTATCTTGATCCATCCTAGAAAAATCCACATTTTAGAATGGCCAAACTTGTGCTTAATCTCAATGTGCAGGGTCTCATGTGAAGTCTGATATACCCAAGGAAGAAGGTCTGGACAGCTTCAGGAATCTGTATTCTCTGCCTTGCAGTTGGGCCTGCAGAATTCTAGGTAAGGATACTAATACTTTATACACATCTCCCTAAATACAAAATAACGCCTCAGAGCACAATAAAGTGCTTCTCTACAATGAAGAGCCATCAAATATCCCATCCACAACTCTAATGAAAGATCATAGCTTCATTTCAAATGTCTTTATCCATTTGCTCAATGAAAAGAAAGGGTTGAGGATAATTTAGAAATATAAGAGAAAAATATTTCCTATTTGACATCCGTTGATAAGATGTAAAAGCACCTTAACAACAAAAAATAACATGGAAATTGATAGGTTCCTACTTCAGAAGTAAGAGTTTAAAAGACAAAAAACCAATCTTATCCTTACCAGCCATATCTGTCTGTGGAATCTGGTATAGCTTTGTAAATTCATCTGGATAATTTTCTACCCAGTTCCAAAATGCCTACAAATAATAAAACATGTTTTTACATGAAAGCAAGGATATTTTCTTAACATAGTAAATAAAATGTCACACAGCATCAATTATATCACAAACTACTAATATCTTTCATAAGACTATTGCAATGCACTTCCCTAAAAATTAATGTAAAATGATTATTCAAGCCAAGACTTTTTAATTCAAAATTGTAAAGAGAGCAACATTTATAGCTAAGTTAACAAAACTGTAATGCCAAAGAAGTTATGACTTACTTTTTCCAGGCTATTTATAACAGCTAACTGTGCAACCTTCTTTAGGGCTTTAAATTTAAATGCTGTTTCTGGGGGGAAAAAAGTTTTAAAAATTAACTCTAGAAAACAAATACAGTTCAGAGCTACTAGTAAAAAACAAAACTTTGTTTCACTATCATTTGTAAGCAATGTAAAAACAAAGACAATTAATAAAAACCAAAAATGCACTGGCTATGTCCACTAGAAACAAAACTCAACACAAAGTATACATGGCCAGAGGTGGTGCAGCCAGGGTGAAGCACCTAGCTCATTGCAAACAAGTGAGTTTGACTCATCAGAGGAAGAGCCTATTGAAGATGAACAGACTCCAATGCAGATATCATGGCCACCCCTGTCACAAGTGAATGGTTCTCGGTTTCTTGGTTTATGTGCTCTTCCAAGTTATAAATTTAAAAATGCTAGAAGAAATATCCAAAAAAATACTGAAGAACTAAAGAGCTATGGTATGCACGACATATTGTTTTCTGCATCAGAAGGGAACTATCAAAATATAGAGTCCCGAACCTCTTGGACCTCTACCAGTAGTATGGAATAATCACTCAGCATCTTCCAGTCCCAGTTGGAAGGACTCCTGACATGACCAGCTGCTGTGAAATAATGGAGGGCCTTAAAATCTGCCTTAAAAATAACAAACAAAAACAAAAACACCTTAATACACTGTTAGGGAGGATTTAGGAGATCTTGTCTTGTAGCCATCCTCTTGTCTCCTACTATACTGTCTGACAGTATTACCACAGCAAGCCATAGAGAGCCTGAGAGACCTATGAGGATCTGGAGCAATACAGACCATAAAGCAATATAATTATCTTCACAAATTCCAGGACAAACTAGCTATACACCTATCATCAATAGATTCACTATCAGGGTCTGTATCTACAGGGGTAAAAAAAAGAAGCAAGAATATTGAACAGGATGTATAAATGACCATGTCTGAAATTTCAAAGTTCTCTAACATAATTTGTATTGATGTTAAACTACTGATGTTATCAACTTGAGTGTAAATGTATATATGCAGATATTCCTAAAGCTTTTATTAAAAAAAAAAAGCAAATAAGTCTTGAACTTAAAAGACGGTTGTGTTTTTCCCCTTTGTTTTGTTTTTAAACTTACTTTTAAAAAAATATGATACACATGGTCATTGTAGAAAATTTTTAAAATATACAAAATTCTAAGGGAAATTTTAAACATCATCCATGATGCTACCATTTGGAGATAATCACAGTTAACAGTTTGATGAATTTTCTTCCATCCATTTTTCTATGCACATATAAGACAAATAACTACATTTACCATAACTGAGATCATGTAGACTAGATATAATCTACTCTTTTCATTTCACATAGTATTCTAAATTTATCCATGTCATTAAAAATTCTTCATACATATATTTGAAGGCTGTATATACAATAGTAACTATTACTTGACAATTACAACATGCCAGGTACTTTCAATCTAATATAAATTTTAAAATACTAGATACTGTAAATAAAGAATATCTTTCTTAAAAAGAAGTAAAAATTTAAGTAATTTAGCAATACCTTTTAATTCTTTCAAAATCTTAATGCTTTCAGACATTACAGATGAGCAAACTGTCTCTGAGGTTACAGATCTAATAAATGATTACATTGGACTTCAAAGCCATAGTCTTTTCAATATGCTTTGATATCTTTCATAATATTTAAGTCAATATATTAAGTCATTGGTTATTTAAACATTTTCCAATCCTATATAATAAAAGCCTAATATGCAAATCAACTGAACAGCAGAACAACCGGTGGAACGACCAGTCGCTATGATGTGCACTGACCACCATGGGGGAGAAACTCAATGCAGGAGCTGCCCCCAGCCTACAGGCCCCAGGCCAGCCAAGGCGGGTGCCAGTGGGGGCCCCCTCGGTCACACCCCCCAGTCACCCCGGGTGGGAGGTCACCTGGCAATCAGGGGAAGGCGACGCCCCCATCACACCTCTGCTGCTGCCACTGCCGGCAGTGCAAGCCTCGGCCGGCCCTGGTTACCTGAGCCTTGGGCCAGCCCTGGGCGGCTAAAGGGACTGGGGGACTCCGAAGGCAGGCGCCCCAGCAGGGCTGAGGGGACTGGGTGCTGCCATCTTTGAGGGTGTGGCAGTCAATTAGCATATTCCCTCCTTATTGGCTGTGGGCACCACCATCTTTGCGACAGTGTGAGAGTCAGTTAGCATATTCCTTCTTTATTAGATACGATAAACTAACAAATACTTTTATATCCAAACTAGAGGCCCAGTGCATGAAAATTCACATGCTGGAGGGAGGGGGTCCCTCAGCCCAGCCTGCCCCCTCTCAGTCTGGGAGCCCTCAGGAGTGGGAAGCGACCCGTAGATCAGGGGAAGGTGACACCCCCATCACACCTCTGCTGCTGCCACTGCCGGCAGCACAAGCCTCAGCCATCCCTGGTTACCTGAGCCTCAGGTGGCCCTGAGCGGCTGGGCAGCTGCCATCCAAGGCTTGCCTGCGCCTCGGGCCAGCCCTGAGTGGCTGGGTGGCTGAGGGGACTGGGGGACTCCAGAGGCAGGCGCACGGGGTTGAGGGGATTGGGCGCCGCCATCTTGTGGCTGTGGGTGCCGCCACCTTTGGGGGGGGCAGTCAATTAGCATATTCCCTCCTTATTGGCTGTGGGTGCCGCCACCTTTGGGATGGTGTGAGGGTAAATTAGCATATTCTGAGCTTTATTAGATAGGATTTTTCCTACATTACTGATTATTTCTTTAAGGAAAGTAAATCTCAGGGTTGTTTTTTTTCTGGCCTTGCAAATAACTTGCTCTCCAGGTCAATTTTAAAACATATCCCTCCAATATTCTTTGCTCTTGCTCTCCTTTGATTTCAAATCATGGCATGACATTTCACAGTGCTCTCGAGCCTTTTTGCCTTCCTATTTTCATCAACTTTTATCTTTTGACGTCTTAAATGCATTATACACAGTAGTCTATTCTCAATTCCAATGTATAGATCTTTTATTAGTCCATTTCTACAAGTTTCTGACTGAACATCCTACTAATACCTCAAACTCAATAATCTAAAGCTGAATTTATCATTTTCCTGACCACCTTCTCTGCTACCCACCCTTCCTTTCCTTTCCTGCTTTAACCAGTTTGCTCTGTAATACTTAGTAATACTTCTCTTTAATTTCATAATCTAAATTAATCACAAAATGCTATGTGATGTATTTTATTCAAATGCTATATATTCTACTTCTTAAATACCATACCAAATTGTCGCCATACTACCCCATTCTATCCAGACCTCCACTACCCTCATTATTTTTCACTCACATTACTATACAAACTAGTCCCAGAATTTCATGTAACCTTCCATCAAACCATCCGGTAAACTTCAAGCAAAATGAAATATCTAAAATAAAATACTGCCCTAGCTGGCTTGGCTCAGTGGATAGAGCGTCAGCCTGAGGACTGAAGGGTCCCAGGTTCGATTCCGGCCAAGGGCACATGCCTGGGTTGCGGGCTCGATCCCCAGGATGGGTTGTGCAGGAGGCAGCCGATCAATGATTCTCTCTCATCGTTGATGTTTCTATCTCTCTCTCTCCTTCTCCCTTCCTCTCTGAAATCAATAAAGAAATATATTTAAAAAAATAATAAAATAAAATACTAATCCCACCTTAAAGCCTTTTCATCACTTCTCATGGCCACTAAATTAAAGCCTCATAAGCCACAAGCACAGTAGTGTAGGAGTTAAGTACTTTGGTCCTAGAGACGGGCAGATGTGATTTGTATTTTTACCCTGCCACTCACTAGCTCTATGACCTCTGAAATGTTACCTCCTAACACTCAATTTCCTCAGCTACATAAAGGATGATAATACTACTACCAGCTTCCCAGGATTACTGTAAGGACTTATGATAAAAAGCATGTAAACTACATAGCATGATCTGTGGTACATACTGAAAATGAACAATTACTACATTTTTATTAATGTAATCTGACCTACTCTTATACCTCCATATCTTGCTCTTTTCTTCTTAACATTTTTTACCCACAAACAAATGTATATTTCTTCTCTTACTTTATGCTCATCCTATTTGAGTTTGCCACATTGCTTTGCAAATAATTTGATAATTATGTCTTTGTCTCATTAACCAGGCCATATAAGCTCTGTAGGGACAGATGAACTATTTTATTAATCATTGTAAGCCCAACAATTAGCATGGTTTCTTCCACAGTTTCTCGACATATACTGTTGAACAGAATTTAAAACACATTAATTATTTTACTATTCATATTATAGAAAGTTTCTATTCCTTTTACCATTGTAACCTAGTGCTATCCTTTGACGGCCATTTTAATATTGCCTTTATTGATGACATATTTATCAGCATAGAATCTAAATTTATGCTCATGGGGGAGCAGGATTCGATGGGAATAACTTACCACAATAAAAACAGTTGTTTATCCACACATTTAGTTTCTTTTCACTTGGGCATAGAGAACCATCTCAATTAATTGTTACGGATTACACATTTCTAAGAAAACTGAGATTTTAAACAAATACCTATTCATTAACAACCTGGACTAGATTTATTTCCAAAATGTCTCTGAACAGTTAAGAAAAATCATAAAACCCCATTTATATTTCTTCAATTTTAAACATAGAAGTCTCTAAATTTTATCATTTACTTCCTTCACTTCTCAATGTTTAATGATACTAAAATCTTGAAATTTCAACTATGAATTGAGTGGTGGTTCACTGTAATCTAAAATAATTGCTAAGCAATTATCCATATCTTGATGTAATAGCTAAAATAATTCCTTTCTGCCTGACTGGCGTGGCTCAGTGGTTGAGCTGCAGTAACTATGGAAATAGCTTCTGCTCCCGGTGCTGCTCCTTCGAGGTGCCCAAGTCTTCCATGGGGGCCTCAGCCCCCGAAGCCCAGAGAGATCTTTTTTTTTTTAAAGAGAGAACTCTGGTTTTTAATAGTTTTGATCTTTAAAAAAGCTTAAACCTGCATAGCAATCATTTCAAAAATAATTATTTAATGTTCCATAATTAAACTGTATACAACCTAGTCTTGGGACACGGCAGCCAGTGAGATGAGTTTGGAGCAGTCCCATGCAGTCCCAGGAGCCAGGAGTTGAGTTCTCATTGGCCTTTTTTGTTTATTTTTGTGTCATTCTGTTCATGTAAGTTTATTTGGCTACTTGGCACAATCTGGCCCCGTGGCTGAGCGGATCTGCACTGGGAAGAGAGAGCAGCTTGACCCCAGTCCCTTCTCGCTTCCCCTCCCCCACTTGGCTGGATTCCTCAAAGTCGCTCAATGTCTTGGTATTTCTTCCCCAGAATAGAGATCTGGAAGAAATTCTTTAAATTGAACAGGAGGTCACAGTTCGATTCCAGGTTGGGGCACATGCCTGGCTTGCGAGCTCATCCCCAGTGTGGGGCATGCAGGAGGCAGCCAATTGATGATTCTCTCATCACTGATGTTTCTATCTCTCTCTCCCTCTCCGAAATCAATAAAAATATATTTTAACATAAATAAATAAATAAATAAATAAATTCATTTTCCCCTTCATTAATGTCACTGAAAAGTGATTTAATTGTTGCTTGGTTTTATAATGTTAATTACCTAAAATCATAAATTCTGAACAAGGGTAATAGAGATGGAACACAGCCTTATAATATTCATCCAAGTAGATATAGCCTTTTCACATATCTGATGAACCAGTTATTGAGTTTAAACAAATGGTAAGAAAACTACACAACATATTTTGAAAATTACACTGCAGAACTATTGAGGTTTTCAAAGTAAATGTAACTAAGTCTCCTTTTAGGTCAGACTGTAAAAAATATTGACAATTCCTTAATCAATATACAAAATAAAATAAAAAGTAGCGTGAATCATAAGATTTCACATTTAAGTTAAATAAAACTAAAAAAATTTTTTGCATGAAATGAATTTAAGTATTTATACTCAATGTATATATGCCCATTAATAATGCCCACTGATTTATATCAACACTTTCCAACTTACCAAAAAAATTCAATTCTTTCTGATAGTTTATTTCTTTTTTTAAAAAAATATATTTTATTGATTTTTTACAGAGAGGAAGTGAGAGATACAGAAAGTTAGAAACATCGATGAGAGAGAAGCATCGATCAGCTGCCTCCTGCACATCTCCTGCTGGGGATGTGCCCGCAACCCAGGCACATGCCCTTGACCGGAATCGAACCTGGGACCCTTCAGTCCGCAAGTCGACGCTCTATCCACTGAGCCAAACAGGCTTCGGCTGATAGTTTATTTCAATCAACATCATCATAAAAGCACTTTCCAAAGTTTTAAAATGACAATCAAGAATTATAATATCCCCACATGGGACTACTATTGACATGTTCTAAAAGGAAGTAAAACTAAGCACTGAAAGCATAAGAGACTTTGTAATACTGCAAAGTCAGTTAAGTAAATAACGGAGCTGAAAACAGAAATGTTAGAAATAAGATTCCTGACTCAATTCCTCTTCTCATCATAAGATCACATACTTCTGGTTCTTCAGCTTCTGAAATAAAACTTTGTTATCCTGCTAAGCTATCTGCTTTTAGCTCTACAAAAGGTAAACAGGAACTTCTGAAACCTATAGCTATCCTTAAGAGATAAAATTCTAAAAATATTAAATAAAAGCACCTTTATATACTCTTTATTAAAAGCAAAAATTGTAGTTAAACAAAACTTTCCATTGCCAAGATTTAAGATACTAATTTTCTCTATTGTATGGTTTTCAAAGTTTCAAAAATTACTGAACCATAAGTATCATTATCCATTTCTCAGGGACATTTGCAGTGTAAAATCCACTTTGATGTTCTAGCTCAACACAACTACTACATTCAAAATACTGGTTTTTCACCCACAGTGATTAATCACAGCTATATCATACATTTAAACTTACCCTTCAGGAGTCGTTTTAATTTCGCACAATCCACATTGATATACTGTAACAATTCTATATCATGAACATCAACATTGTCTTCCGAACAAACAGTCAATTCCTGTAACCTGAAAGTAAAAACCAAAAATAATTTATCAATTTAAGTCTTAGGGTAGTCAAAAATTCTGAATTCAACAGATTTTTCTCACCTCAATGATGAGTTATAAGAGAAAATACAAATATAAGAAATCAGAGAATAAATATTTATGAAAATCTAAGAAAGATAATTTAGGGGATAGGATAAAAGAAACCATGATAATCCAGTAAACTTCACTATGTATATGTTTATCAAATGATACTTTAAATATGTACAATTTTTTATTTTTTTTTAAATCATAACATACTAATAACTGTTGAAGCACAGTAAGAGATACATGGGTATTTAAAATACTCTTCTCACCCTAGCCAGTTTCGCTCAGTGGATAGAGCACTGGCCCGCAGGCTAAAGCATCCGGGTTCGATTCCCAGTCAGGGAACCTCCAAAAAATAAAATAAAATACTCTTCTCTCTGCTATGTGTATTTTTAATTTTGTTCTATGATAAAAAGTTTTTAAATTTCAAATTATAAGTAAAATATGAAATTTTATTAATGTCTTTTAGAAGCATGTGTGGTACAGTAGTCCCCCCTTTTCAGAGGTTTCACTTTCTAGGGTTTCAGTTACCCAAGGTCAACCACACTCCAAAAATATTAAATAAAAATTCCAGAAATGAACAATTCATAAGCATTAAAGTGCATGATGTTCTGTGAAGCATGATGAAATCTCATGCTGTCGGTTCTGTCCCATCTGCTCTGTGCCATCTTTGAAAACTCTAGAAATTTTTTAGTCACCAGAGGCTTTGTTTTATAGGATTTTATTGCATTTGCACATGTAAAAATAGACAACTTTTGTGTATTTCCTGAATCTAGTTCACTGATTCCATAATAGACGTGTTTCTAGAATAAGCCAGTTTCTTATCTTTCAGGCGACAGAGTGCTCTGGGATCTATGAAATACATGTTTCAGACAACTGCATTTGCTATTTCATTAGCTTGTGCCAGAAATAAAAGCTGATGACCACTCACCTAAAATACCATTCTCATGGTTTAATTTAGAGATACCTTATGACATTGCTGCATAGCAATAGGCAACTTAAAATATGCAAGTATCTAGAATGGCAGTTCTCTCTAAAGACTCATTTATATCTTATATATAGTAGATGAATCAACATCATGAAAATTGGTTGTGTTGGACCATTCTACCTGTTACAGATGCTTTTCTTTTACAATTAACATTAGCTAGCTTTTGATATTCCTGATCTTTGCTTTTCTTAAAGGGAATATGAGCTACAGATCTTAAGATAACTTCATTATACTGCTGAAATATGCCATATGCTATGGCTTAGAGTACTCTTATGTAAAGGATTACCTGCTTTTTCCACAGAATAACGGTACAACTGCACTCAACCTAATTGTTTTCTTTAATGGGAGGGCCCCTGTGGAACATCTAATTTGACATACCAACAGTAGCAAAGGCTCAATGACTTTAAAAGTTCTATTAGTTTTTGTTTTTTTTTGGTTTGGTTTTGTTTTTACAAATCTGCTGGGGGGTTTTGTGGCTTCTTATTCTTTTCTTCTCATATGTCTCCAATAATTTAGAACATTACTTTATATTTTCTTTAGGATTATTAAATGAGCTCATATATTTGCATATGCCAACTCTTTTTTTTATATATATATATATATTTTTATTGATTTTTTACAGAGAGGAAGGGAGAGAGACAGAGAGTCAGAAACATCGATGAGAGAGAAACATCAATCAGTCGCCTCCCGCACATCTCCCACTGGAGATGTGCCCGCAACCCAGGCACATGCCCTTGACCGGAATCAAACCCGGGACCCTTCAGTCCGCAGGCCGACGCTCTATCCACTGAGCCAAACCGGTTTCGGCATGCCAACTCTTATTCATAGTGGATTGTTAACTCTCCGTTTTGTAAACTTTGATTGCAAATTCATCTCTAGTGCAGTCAGTATTTTCTTTGGGGATTTCTTAAAGCCTGGGGCTATGGAGGTGTCCTAGTGATGGTTTTGCATTTGCTTTTGCCATGGGCTCAGCTCTGGACATGTATTTTTTTTTATAACTTCTCAGACCCAGATTGTCTGGGTAGTATAAATGTGGACCTCAAACTCATAAGGTAATGGCCCTAGGCAACTTTCCCCCTACCCTAAGCTTAGGCAGAGCAAACCATCTTCTAGTTCTTTTTCCCCTTCCTCCCTCCATTCCTTCCCCTCTCTCTCTCCTTCTTTTCCTTCCTCCCTCGCATTCTCCCTTCATTCTTTGTTCTCTTGCTCTCATTTTTTAAGGAGTGCATAGCTCCTTCTAGTCAAGACCCCAGTTCTACTCCCTGCATTATTAGGTTGCAGGCTTTTATCCAGTTCCATTTGGATATTAGCTCTATATCCCTGGGTTAAGGAGAGAGTAAAAACCTAACCATCTTCACCCTTCTTTTGTTGCAAGGCCAGGTCAAGCTTCAAAACTACCTCTGGTTTTCATTTCTGGGCCTGGTGGATGGGGTTAGTGGGTAGTGTTTGTTTCACTTAATTACTATATATTTTAAATACCATTCTGTTGTTATTCAGTTTACCTGGCCTTTCTAGATGTTGTAGTGGCAGGTTTTTCTACTTCATTTCTTTTGCTCAAACTACTCTTTATTCTATTTATCTGCTTCAGAAATGATGTTTAAACTTCACAAAATATCCCTTCCTATGGAACTATTAAAAGGAGTTAAATTTTTCTTCCATTTTTCACAAACAACCACAAGAGCCAGCTTTTCAAATTTATTTAGTTGTGTTTCCTAAGGAGCCATATTCCATATTTCTAGGCACTTTGCATCAGCTGTGGAATTTTTAGCATGTTAATCAGTAATGAGGACCTTCTGATTCCCAGTGGGATGAACTGCTCAGCTTTTCTTACCCTGATGAGATGAAGAACTTTAGTGTAAGTGCATAGACTAACTTTAATGTTAGCTATACATCTGGAGGCTAAAGCAATGAAAGGATTTGAGAAGGAAGAAGTTAGATTAATTTCATTTTCAACTAAGGTTTAGTGTGATATTAATATCAGTTTTAAACTAAATGGTTACAATTTGAGTTAATATTATGAATAAGATCATGCAGTATTTGTTGTTCTTTACCATATCTCTCTTCAGATATAAAAATTAGTAATTCCATTCTACTGCTTACACTTTTGATATTAATTGAAATAATGGGTATACCTCATTAAAAAGCACAATTCAATACATTAGCAATACCATCTTTTCAAAAGCTGATGTCTGTAGTTGTTATTGAAAAAAGAAAACTTTAACCTCTTTTATTTAGACTTAAGTGAATTTTGACATCAGTGTAAAAATCTATACTTTTGTTGTTTTACAAACAAATCATGCTTGGATAGACAAAAGACATTGTATTCTTTTGATCATTTTCTACCTTCAATGTAAGATTATTTCATATAGTAAGGCTGGACTAATAGTCACCTAAGCAAAAAAGGAATTTTTTTTTTGCACCTCCGATTCCGTAGGTGTTTGTTACCTTGCTGCTTCAACCAGTATATGATTCCCCAGAATATGAAATGTCATCACTCAAAAGATTTCATGAAGACATTGTATATTATATAAACATTACCAAACATCATCAATTATACTGTACCATTAAATAACATTTTAGTTTATTTGCACAGGGAATTCTGTGAGCAGATAAAAGAATATTGTCTAGCATCGTGATCATAGAAATGCCATTTTTTTATTTAAAAAACTGCAGGTTTTTGAAGTTAGCCAATTCTCCCAAAGTACCACGGCCCAAATTCTCAATTATGATGCATGTTCTCATTCAAATCTATTAGAAAACTAGAGAAGAATAAATACCTCTGACTGATGGAAGTCCACTATTCACACAAGATAAACTTGTCAAAAGATGCAGATACCAAAAAGCAAAGAGGATTGTTTTCTCTATTCAGCATTATTCTGTGACTAGTGGCCCAGTGCATGAAATTCGTGCACATTAAAAGGGGATTAATAAAAGGAAATATTTTAATATTGCTATTTTCCCTTTCTCCATAATAGAAGTGTCAGAGATGAAAGAAAATTAGTAAAATGTGTATGAAAATCTTCCTCCTGTCAGAGTCTGGGGTGTGCTGCAGGTCACAGAGTCAAGTCCCCACATAACTGTGGTGCCTCAAAATCATGCGAGACCCAGACCCAGCCAGCCCCACCCTCATGGGGAGGGCTCAGGAAGGTCCACCATCAAGCCATGCTGGGCAGGGGGCGTGGCCTGAGGTCCACCGTCAAGCCCTACCAGGTGGAGGGGTGCACCCTGAGGTCCCCCATCAAGCCATGCTGAGCGGGGGCCTCAGCTTGAGGTCCCCTGTCAAGACCCACTGGGCAGGGGGCGTGGCCTGAGGTCCCCTGTCAAGCCCTACCAGGCGGGGGGGTGGGGGGGGGCCGGGCGCAGCCTCAGGTCCCTGCTGATTGCTCATTAAGGCTCTTTACAGGAACTCGGCCTCCACTGTGAGTGCAGCCATCTTGTGTTACAGAATCCCTGCCTCCGCTGTGGGTGCAGCCATCTTGACCGTTACGGTGTGATGGTTAATTTGCACATTCCCTCTTTATTAGGTGAGATTCACTGAATCATTAAGTGATTCATGCTATACTTCCTACTGGGTCATAATTAAGGATCCACTCAACTCCACTTGCATGAGAAAGACAAATCATATGCATGAAAGCAAGTTCCAGAGTTACTGGCTACTGTCAATTATAATTCAATTCCATTTTGCACCATGTATACCAATTTCTCTATCTGCAGGATATAACTAATGATCACATGATGATTTTATCATACAATTTTAAAGCACAGCAATATATATTACAAAAGAAATATCATTAAAATGTGGTTAAAACAGAAGTAGCAAACCTGGTATAATAACACTAATAGACTCTGACGCCAGTCCATCTTAGAAATAATGGGTCCTCCATTTTGGCAAATTGCCTTGATAACTTCTTTGGGTATTAGTTTGCTTACCTGTAAAATGAGGAGTTACCACATACATTTCAAAGATACTATGAGGCTAAGGCAGCATTCTGCAAATGCTCAACAAATGGGCATTTCTGCAGTTTGTAAAGTTAAAACACAGACCACTTTCTGGAGGTTTCTACTTGACAATTATTCTCTTCCTTGTGCTTCCATATTTTTGAGATATTTTGGTTTAGGGATTTGTTTGTTTGTTTTATAACTTAGGCTCTTGTGATAAGGAGTAGAGCTGTGAGATCATTAGAATTCTGACTGCTCATCAATTATTCTATCTGGTTAATTTCATTTGAAGAAATAATATGTTAAAAAGTCAAAAATTCATTCCTAGTGTTCAAAGGGGAAAAAAGCGTGGTCATGTGTAACATTTCCTAAAATTTAGACTTTTGATTTTTGTAACAGTACTCATATTTAATTGTACACACCACTCTCACAGTAATAAAAATTTCAAAGAAATCAATGCATAAAATTTCTACAAAAGCTGAGGTCAAACTCATTTCTGTCAACTTTTAATTTTTATGCAGACGATAAGAAAAACTTCTAAAATGTATATTACTTACAATAGTCCTATGTAGATTTACACACTAACCTGGTAGAAATGCGACTAAAGACTGCATTGAAGTTGTTGCAGCTGAGAGAAAATAAAACTCCAGAGGCAGAATTCCGAAGTTCAGCTGCATGTTGGTTTCCTTCACGACAGGTGTGAAGAAAATGGCAGATTTCTGGCAGCAACTGTTTGACCAGCATTGTTTCATCTAATCTCATTGTGTCCTTTGGTTGCTAAAATAGAAATAATCACAATTCTAAAACTTCCTTAAATTCACATGTAAATATTTTCTATTATGAAAATTTTCAAATACATGAGTTGAAATAGAATAACAAACACCCTTATATACACTCATCACCTAATTAGATTCAATAATTGTTTTTATTTCATCATGTCTGCTATATATACAGTCAGTCTAATAAAGAGGATGGCTCCATCTTTCGCCTCTTTAATCACAATAAAAGTCCAGCCCCCATCCATCCATCTTCCTCAGCCCCCCACACCCACTCCTGCCTGTCCCATTTATCAAATCCCTACAGGAGTCCTTCCCCTCCTGGGAATCCTCAGTTTGTTGTGAGTTCTAAATAAACATTATTCATGTTCCTTAGTGAGTGAACTGTGTCATCTATCTCAACATCCAAATAATTTTCTGGATGGGCCATCACACCTGCCTTTAAGTAGATTGACCAAAACAGATAAATATTATTTATTACAAATAACTTTCTTTTGGTTAATCCATTTCAAAGTTACAAACATAATACTTCAGCCCTACATACTCCAGCATCTCTTAAAAATAAGGACATTCTCCAATATAATTTCAATCAATCATAACATCAAGGAAAAATAAACAATTCCTTTGTATCAGCTAACACCCAATCTGTAATCAAATTTCCCTAACAACTCCCAAAATGACTTTTCATTGCTTCAAAAGAGGTTCATAGATTGTAACATGATTATATTCCTTTAGTTTTTTTAATTTCTTTATTGATTAAGTTATTAATGTGTGTCCTTATCCCCATACTACCCCTCCTCCCCCCTCACTTATGCCCTCACCCCGCTGTTGTCTGTGTCCATTGGTTAGGCCTATATGCATGCATATAAGTCAGTGATGGCGAACCTATGACACTCATGTCAGAGGTGACACGCGAACTCATTTTTTTGGATGATTTTTCTTTGTTAAATGGCATTTAAATATATAAATAAATATCAAAAATATAAGTCTTTGTTTTACTATAGTTGCAAATATAAAAAAATTTCTATCCTCTGGTTGATCTTCCTTTAGTTTCTTTATTCTAAAACTATCTCCCTCTATATACATCATCTTTATTTTCTATAACATTGACTTTTTTTAAAAAAATGGGCCAGTTGCCTTACAAAATGTGACAACTTGTTATTGTAATCACTGTATTTTCTGTAAGGTGGAACCTAAACCTAGGTGTGACATCATTCAGGTTAAACACTTCAGGAGTACATACTCCCAAGTGATTACACTGTAAATGACACCAAGTTTGATAACTTCAGTGTTAACACCAGAATCTCTATTTTGTAAAATAAAGTTCTCCTTTACAATTAACAAATCAATCAATGGATAAGCTATCCTGCAGATATACTGTTCCATATCAATATTTCACCTAACAGCTTTAGTATCCATCTATCAGTGACAATTTTGATAATACCAAGCATGATGACAAAACAAAAGTTTATATAACTGTGTGCTATGCTCAATTCTGTAATTACAATCCAAGTGCTTTCAGATTCAAATACACTGAAATAGATGGATAGCAAATAAATACATATCACAAAAAATATAAAATTTGAGTTACAATGTTTATTTTTCATTTATAGGCTAACCAAACAATACAGATGTTGAAAATAACTCCAAATGAAAATTGTGTAAGTGTTCAATCTTTTGAATAGTGGTCATAGATACAGCAACAAAACTATTTAAGATTCCTCAAATTCTATAAAATCTTACTTATAAGATATTGGTAAGTATTTGTTCACTTTCACTAGATGTTTCAACTACTTATGAGTAAATATGTACTTGTAAGCTCAGTTAATCTCAAACTTCCTCAACTTACTTTGATTTAAAAATGAAAATCAAGAGACAACCATAAAATCATTGATGGCAATCTAACAAAACACAATTGTTCAATAATGTGAAATGTATTATTTTTAATTATAAATTTAATTTTAAAATCTTATACATTTTCAATTGTAGAGCAGAGCAAAATAAGATATATTTTGTGCATTATATAAGTTTTACCATGCCCAATTAGAGTTACTAGAGTTTCAATTAGGCTATCTCCAAAGAGTACCAAATTAGCAGGCCAATAATATCATTCCCCAAAACACATTTACCATTAACTCTCAATTACAAACATTAATAGAGAAAAGCTGTAGAACTAAGAGAGACAATAAACCACCCTACTCAAGCATGAGAGTGGCTAATACACTGGTATACACAATCAAAACAATAAGACTACACAGTGATTCCTATTTTTAAAATTGTCCCCCTCCACAAGGCCACCATCCTGTTTAATAGCCCTTTCATTTTATAAACTAGAGGCCTGGTGCATGAATTCATGCACAGGTGGGGTCCGGCTGGCCCGACCTATCAAGGCCGATTAGGCAGGGCCAGCAGGGGGGGAGGGGCCACAGGCAGTTGATGGGCCAGCCCCATCCCCCGATTAGGGTAGGGGGGCAGTTGGGGGCGGAACCGGCCAGGGGGAGGGGCCACGGGCAGTTGGCTGGCTGGCCCCACCCCCTGGTCAAACTCCTGGTGGAGAGGCAATTTGCATATTAGCCTTTTACTATATAGGATGAACAACAGCATATCATAAATTACATATCATAAATAGCATATCATAAATAACAAAGAACACCAAGCTAAAACAGAACTAGCTCACCCTCAATTTAAGTGGAAAACTTAAAAACACTCTTACAATTTTGGAATATGGCCAACGGTCAATAAAAGAGTTTTGTGGGGTTATTTTAATGAGAATTGTTCCTTAATATTATTTATTTTTTATCCTCACTCGAGGATATTTTTCCATTGTCTTTTTTTTTTTAGAGAGAGTGGAAGAGAGAGGGAAAGACAAAGAGAAACATCAGTGTGAGAGAAACACATTGAGTGGTTGCCTTCTGCACGAGCCCTGACCAGGGCCTGGGCCAAGAAGGAGCCTGCAACCGAGAGGTATGTGGCCTTGACCGGAATTGAACCTGGGACCCTTTACTCACAGGCCGATGCTCTATCCACTGAGCCAAACCAGCTAGAACAATAAATGAGTTTTAAAACATTATCCTTAGGGTTTTGTGGTCTATAATCTTAAACACTTCTTTTCCCTAAGGATACAGTGTGTGTGAATGTAATTATGTTTTCCAACACTACCGTATCCCTTCCCCAAACACTTACGACTATCCCCTATCTTCTCAACCACACATAGCAAAGTCCCTTCCATCTAGGTTTACTATAGAGAATAACCATAACATATGTGGAAGAAAAGCAATTCTGAATAAAAGCAAATGATGTACCAAAGGAAGACAGGCTATAAGAAATAAGTTAATTCCAATACATATTGAATAGCTAGATTTTTTAAATGGAAGTATTAAATTTATTTACTTATTTGAACTTCTACCATGTTCCCGGAAGAATTAAGGCTACTGAACTATAGAAATACTTTGTTTTATACAACAGGAAGATTCTTGAAAAAATTCCAATTAAGTCATGGTTGAAATACACTGAGATAACTATTTAGAGGAAACCTGAGAAAGAACTGTCTTCTACTCAACTAATCCTCCACGTATCTCTATTTTATATGTTCATTTTTATAAATAACAAGTGTTCTTCAGGTAGGATCTGTCAGTAATAGTTTAATTTTTTTAGCTCATTTTTATTTAGATTTGAAAAAACATTAAAATCAGATTCATATAGGGGAAATAAGACTACTCTTGGTCTTTTGCCTCATATCCTTTCAAAACTAAACAATGCCACAGGCCTAACAATATCTGAAAAACTAATTAAATCAAATCGTGGCTTTTTTTTTCATAAAATGTTTTCTTTAAAACCCGAGATATATGTGGCTCAAGTTTAACATTTTATAAGTAAACTTAATATCTATTTAATTTATAGAAGATAAGAAAATGCCCAGCCAGTGTGGCCCAGTGGTTGAGTGTCAACCTATGAACCAGGAGGTCAAGGTTTGATTCCCTAACAGGGCACATGCCCAGGTTGTAGGCTCGATCCCCAGTGGGGGCATGCTGGAGGCAGCTGATCAATGATTCTCTCTCATCACTGATGTTTCTATTTCTCTCTCTTTCTCCCTTCCTCTTTGAAATCAATAAAAATATAATTTTAAAAAAGATGAGAAAATGATTTTATCTTGAAAACTTGTTTATGCCACCTAGTCAGCTGTTTTAAAAATTCATATGCATGTCTTAGACAAAAAGCCCATGAGTCCAAAAAGTTCTCCTTGTCAACACCTATATTTTGGTATATCAGATTAACTTAAACTTAAATTCACAAAACCTGCCTACTGAAGAACAGATTTACTTACCCCAGCAAGACATTTTTCCAGTGTATCCAATATAATCAACTGAGAGAGATATAAATTTTTTTCAGCAGCTTCTCCAAATATTCTCTAAGAGAAAAGATATTCAGAACACTAAAAGTTGGTTATTACTCTCCACTACAAATCAGCACACATCTGAAAAGTCAGAGGCTAAGAATCACGAAAATCAGTAGTCTTCCATTTTATCTCCCAAATTATGCTATATTTAAGTCTATTATTTCTAATTTTATCCTAACGCTCACACAAAATAAATTATCAAGCAAACAAAACTACCGGTATTCATTACAGTCTGCCATTAGCCTTGTAACAGTAAAAGAAGATACACTGGTTTATATACTTTAAAAATACATAGGATTTAGATATACACCCTGATCTTTAACAGAATCTTGGATGGAGCATTTAACCACACTTTGATGACACAAAATAATTAAGGTCTAAATTCTTAAAGCAAAAAAAAGACTAGAATATCAATTACAAATAATTTTAAGCATTCACTATTCTTAAATTTAATATTACACTATCTACCAACAAGAGACTATTGTTTCCACAACTCAATTTACTCAATAAGAACTAAATGAATGTCAATATCATAATATTGGTGTGTGTTTTTTGTTTTTAAAAGGTTTCAAGTATTAAAATATTTTCAATCTAAATGGGAGCATGGCCACTTATTATATAAGTAAAATCCTATCACTGTGCCCCACACACATTGCAACAAAAGAGCTCCACAAAATCTTAAATAAATTTCTGTAAATTACTTTACATATTTATTAAAAGCCCTGCGTTTTTTCAAAAAATATTTTCTTCCATAGAGAAAGGCAAAAGATTTTCCACAACTCCAGTTTATCCATTTTGTAAGTTTTAAGTATTGTCTAATGAGCTCTTTTTAAAAACACACACACACCAAAGATGACGTGACTATAAAAATGTGACTAATTTTCACAATCTACAACCAGAAGTCATTTTCAGAGTTCAAAACAAACAATACAAATCGTGGTTGTCAGTGCTAAAGACAATCAGAGCAATTACAATTTAGTCAAGAAATATCCGAATCAGTTGATTTGAACTGAGTATGAAGGAAACTTTAGTTAGGAATTGACAGAAAGGAAGGAATCACCTGAGACAGGAGAAGTATGTTCAAATGTACAGAGAGAGAATAGCTCGAGTACCCCGAAGTCTATGGAATGTAAACAGATTTTATAAAATGGGGGGGAAAGAAGCTTTTGGAGTAATTTGAGGATATTGGTATTTGGGAACACTTCAAAAATGGGTTCTCTACCTACTGCAGAATCTGTCACAAGCTCCAGGATGAAGGAAATAACATTTTCATAAAAACAATCTTATATTTTAGGACTGTAAGGTCATTTTTTTTCTTTTAATCCTTACCCAAGGACATTTTTTCCATTGATTTTTAGACGTAGTTGAAGGGAGAGGGAGGGACACAGAGAGAGATACATCAACATAAGAGACACATCAACCTGTGAGCCAGCACCTTATGTACATGTCCCTGACTGAAATCAAACCCACAACCTTTCAGTCCATGAGCTGAGTTTCTATCCACTGAGCCAAACCCACTAGGACAGTATAAGGTCATATTTAATTTATCATCTACATAGGACTGGGACAATTTTATATATAAATATTCAAATAAGGAGATAAGGAGAACATCTGAATAGATTACTATGGTCAATTCGTATATGACATAAAATCTATATGCAATCCTAATTTCAGAAAAATAATAAAAAAAGTCACAAATAAGAAAAGTATCTAAGGGAAAGAATAAAAAAACTAAAATGAAAGTTAAAAGGTTATCTGTGCTTATCCACAAAATAAAATGTTTACAAAAAATGACTTTCCATATTTCAAAATATGCTACTCCAAATTTTTAAATAAAAAGTAAACAAAGTAAACTCCCCAAAGGGCCAGTAACCCAATTACTCACCATATTGTTAACATTCTTTAAAATAGTAGTGAGGCCACTTATAACCAAAGAAAACTTGTATTTGGAAATATTGATAAGACATTCCTTGTTGTGTTCGGTACTGACTTTGGTATGTGTGTTCTGCTGTCCTGTTTTTATTGGAAGCTTTAAAAAAAATGAAAGAAAACACATGTTAGCTTACACTTGAAAATGACTAAAAAGAACTCTATTCCTCATTGAAAATCATGAGATTTTAGGAAAATTTTATCAACCAATTACCTGTATTAGTATCTTAAGCTCCAACTTTCTATATATAACAGCATTTATAGCAAATCTAAAGTTCTTTGGAAATTTCAATTTTTGCAGCTCTCCTTCTGGAAGTCATAAACTCTATCTACAAAATTAAATCCTTACCCAGCTCTACATAAAAAAGAATGATGACTCACAGAAATAGAGCTATTTCCTTGTAGCTAAAAATTATTTCAGAGAATGTTTGCAATAAAATGCACACAATCCTTTCTCTTAGACATTGAACTCAAGCACTAACAGAACATGAGACCAAAAAAAATCTATGTCCCATACCTCTAGTCCAGTGGTTCTCAACCTTGGCTGCACATTAGAATCATTTGGGAATCTTTTTAAAATCCTGATTTCTGGGCCTCATCCTCCAGAAATTCTGTTTGTTATGGGGCCACAGTGGCAGCAGCAGGCAAGCAAGCTACCAAGGACAGGGGTAAGAGTGAGCACCTCCTGCCAACCCAGAACCTCTTCGGTGGGGCCACAACATTAGTTACAAAGAAACAGAATTTCCGGAGGATGAGGCCCAGAAATCAGGATTTTAAAAAGATTCCCAGGTGATTCCAATGTGCAGCCAAGATTGAGAACCACTGCTCTAGTCAATAATAGCAAACAACTGCAGGTCATTAAAAAATTAGGACAAACTATACCCTGGAATAAACAGAGTTAGGCTAAGTCAGGTAAGATAACCACTCTCAGGTACACAGTTGAGGAAGTAATGGCACAACAAACAGGTAAGTCTCAAGAAAAATATAACCTTTAAGGGGACCACATTTACATTTATCTGAGAATGAGTTAAGTTGTATTACCAAGAAGTTCATGTCTATTCTGTTCCAAAGTAGCATTCTGTATTGAAAGCATCATGAACATACTTATTATCTAATTATTAGATCCTGCTAATGCTAATCAAGAACACTGGTAAGGTTCCACTGTGAAAACAAAGCTCAGTCCATCTTTCTCATTTCTAACTGGTGCAAACAAAGGTAAAAAGAGACTGAGTTTCCTTAGTTAATAATAAGTGACTAATTCGAGAGTAAAGAAGTACTCAAAAAAGAGGGAAAGCATTTTTAGACTTTGGAGGAAGGGGCAGAACAGAAGCTATAGAATTACATAATGTTAAATATAAAGATTACAAAGGGGAAAAAATCTGAAAGATCAAAAAGGGGGGCGGCATTTTAGAAGCCATCAATGGCTGTAATGTAGCTTGTGAATCTCCCCAAATCCCTCTGTGATGGTTAATTTTATGTGTAAACTTGATTGGATTACAAGGTTCATAGGTATTTGGCTAAACATTATTCATTATTTCCATGTGTGTCTCTGAGAGTGTGTCTGGATTATAATAGCATTTGCATAGATGCACCTAGTAAGCCAGTTTTCCCTGCCCTACTGTGGGTGGGCATCATCCAATCCATTGAGGGCCTACATACAACAAAAAGGCAGAGAGGAAGGAAGAATTAGTCCCTTCCACCAGGCTGTTTGCACTAGGACATTGACCTTCTGCCCTGGCAATCCTGGTTCTTAGGTGTTCAGACCCAGACTCCCCAGACTAGAATCCACCAGCTCCCCAGGTACTTAGGCCTTTGGACTCAGGCTGATGAATTACATCACCAACCTTCCTGGGTCTCCAGCTTGCAGATGGCAGATAGTGGGATTTCTCAGCCTCCATAATGACATAAGCTAGGTTCTCATAAACTCAATCTCTCTCTCTCTCTCTCTCTCTCTCTCTCATCTCTAGACACACACACACTATTGTATGGCATAAGGGACTTCATAAATGCAATTAAGATCCCTAATCAGTTCACTTTGTGTTAATCAAAAGAAGGATTACTTGAATGAGCCTGTCTCAACCAGCTGAGCCATAAGAGATTTAAAGCCACAAAAATACTTTCTGTTGGCCTTGAAGAAGCAAACTACCTTACTGTGGGGAAGATCACATGGCAGGAAACAGCAAGTGGCCTCTCCAAGCTGAGGGCCTCAGTTCTGCAACTGAAAGAATCTAAATTCTACCAGCCAATGAGATTGGGTAGAACTCAAGCTTCAAATAAACTCAAAAACTGTTAGATAATTTTGTGGGCTTTTATTAAATCACTAGAGGTCCGGTGCACAAAACTTTGTGCACTGGTGGGGGCAGGGGGGTATCCCTCAGCCCCACTTGTGCCCTCTCACAGTCTGGGACCCCTCGGGAGATAACGACCTGCTGGCTCCTGCCGGCAGAGGACAGGCCCAATCCCTAGGTGCCTGGTCGGGGTCAGAGCAGGGCCAATTGGGGAGTTGGGGTGCCACCCCATGTCACGCGCAGAGCAGGGCGGATGAGGAGATTGCGGCGCCACCCCTTGTCATTCACAGAGCAGGGTGGATCAGGGGGTTTTGGTGCCACTCCTGTCACATACACAGCAG